GTCTCCGCAGAGAAACCATGGAGCCTCCAAGTTTGAAGGACGTGATGATTTTGTGATTTTAGGATTTTTTTATTCTCTCCAGACACTCATCACCTCCCATGGTTTGGGGGATGGGGGGGTCTCTTCCGTCCCTCCAGTCTTCTCTCCCTCCTCTCCCCCTCCTTCTCTCCCCCTCCTCTCCATTCCTCTCTCTTCTCTCTCCTCTAAGCTCCTGTTTATGCTTTATTCGTTTATATTCGTTTTAAAAGATAATCCTGTCCCTTTCTTGACTCAACCGGATGCTTTCGTTTATCACCAGAGCACACTGCAGGCCTCAAGGTCTCTTGCTCATACCAAGATTACGTTATCAAAAGATTTCTGCCCAAGGTGGCTTGAGGCTTCCTAGAAGGAAATGACAGCAACGGCTCTGGGAAAGAGAGCCTCCTCTTTCCACACCAGGAAAGACTGAGGTGATGAGGCACAAATCTGAGATATTATCTTCCAGACTTGACCTAGAAAAAAGGCTTCCAGGGGACCTGCCTGAAGTCAAACGTGCACACACTGAAGTTTGTTTTGCTGTGAAATGCTTCTATATGTCATATTTCCTGCTCTTTTTTTTTCCTTTCAAAGCAGTAGCCTTCAGGCTTTCCTATGATTTTAATTCATTTTTTTATTCCTCAATCGCCAAAGGAAAGTTTGATGTGTTAGCTGAGTCTTCTCAAAAATCATATACATCATGGGTAAATGAGAAACTAGTTAACTATATGGCCAGACTTACGAATTTAATGTGTTAGAGTTTATTATTAGTTAGAATCAGGATTAGACCCAGGTACTGAAAGATCTCTGGATTTACTTGCTATCCAGGAATGCTTTACTACATTTTGCATTTGGTTTTACTATTCATTAAAAAAATGAATAGCTTGAAACAATGTATAAATTAAAAGTTTGTCACTGTACACTGACATTAAGAAAATACTAGAGTAGGAATCAGGAGACCTAGGTTTTACTCCCCTTAACAGCTGTCTTAGAACCTATCTTGGTAAGTCATTAGAATTCTACTTTGGTTTCTCTCCCCTGAGGTACTTCAGCTCTAAAATTTTCTCATTTTAAATAATAAAAAGTAATGTACTTACGGAGTCATTATGACATAACTTCTGACACAGCAATTCCTGTGACTTTCAAAACAGTAGTGCCTTTGGGAAGTTTGGTTATACCCATGTGGAGAAACACATTCTCCCCACCCCACCTCCCCCCACAAGGGCAATAATCTTTTTTTAATGTTTTTTTATTGTAAAAATACTGTACAGAAGGGTTACATAAGTAAGGTAATGAGTACATTTCCTATGAGCATTGTTATCTCCTTTGTTTTTCCCCTACCACTCCTTCCCTCCCACCTCCTCAACTCCTCCCCCCCCCCAGTTGTAAAGCTCATTTGTAACATAGTGTCTTGTACATCTCATTGTTACAATGGGTCACAACCTGTATTCTTATTTCAGCATTTTGTTATTTCCCTTCCCCTCCCCAAATTAGAAAAAATGTATATACAAGATGCAGGGCACCAGAATCAAATACAGTGACAACAGGGGTTATACCATGGGGGGAAGAACATAGAAGAGAAACAAACAAAAAAAAATCATAGCACATGTTAAATATGTTTAAAAAAACAATAGCAAGAAAGAAAAAACCACTTGTGTCCCTATCTTGGGGTTCATTTCACTTAACATCATCTTATATGGTCATATGTACATAGCTTTTGACCTTTTCTGCTTGTCCTAGACTTAAACTAGTTACTGCAAATAAAGGAAACCATGGGACCTATGTTTCTTTGGGCCTGGCTTACTTAATATAATTTTCTCCAAATCTTTCCATTGAGAAACACATTTTACATTGTGACCTAGTAAAGATGTCATGATTCAATACTTACCTGTACTGCATGTACCAACCCTCATACACTCTTTTTTTTCATACACTCTTTTTATTCCTTTCCATTTTTCTAAATACATACAGAATCCACTGACATGATATTGTTCTGATTTAAGAGTATACGATAGGTTGATGTTTCTTTGATTCTAAGTAACTGATTCTGATTAGTAAGTTCCTTTCAATACACTGTATGGCACTTGAGTTTCACTAAGTATTCCTCAAGCTGTTAAAATGTTTTCCTGGGGAAAATTGTTTGCCAGTCAACTAAAGTTTGTGAAATTGTAGACTCGTGGACACTTCAGTATCAAGTTTATTGATGTTCACATGGAATGCTTTTTCTCATACTTTACATGTGAAATACTATTGGAGAAATACTATTACAATCCCAATTATTATAGTAACTTTAAATAGGTTAGATTTACATGCAGATTTATTCCCAGTGTTCTCAACTCTAAAATAGATTTAATACTAGTTTTGCAAAAGTTTCATGAAAATAAGATGCCCCTGAATTCCTGGGACATTGTCTAGAACACGGTAATGGCTACCGGTAACTTTTTGTTGTTGTTGTTGAGATGACATTGATGTACAAATAATTTACTGGATTCCTTCCACAAAGTGACCCATACCAACCTTCCTGGTCACCTCCATTCCCTCCTTTCCAGGTCTCTTGGGCTGTCACTACAGTGTTATTTCCTACAGTTTCCCTACTACAGAGCCAAAAAGATGAAATGATGAGGGTTCCACTAATAAACGAAACCACTATGGTAGTATGTTCTCTTTCAAAATAGATTGTAATTTTATAACTATATCAAAAAGGAATCATAAGAATCACCAATATCCATCACTATTTTCATCACATGGAAGTTGCAGAGTGCTACCCCTTGAGCCAGGCAAAACTGCTCTTTTCTTTATCACTACCTGTGATAAGCTTTAGTTCATGTCTTGGCATCCTTGATGCCTACAACAAGCACTGAGGAATAGTGGAGCCAGTACATGGGACCTGCCACTTAAGACAGTAAAAGCTGGACCTACCTACCATACTCTGCCCCTTGCCTGCCCCCTGCATCTCATATAAGATATGAAGCTTATACAATGATAGGTGGAGGTCATAAGAACAACCAAGAATGGTTGTGCTGCTCCCTGAGGAAGAAAGTCATTCTCAGCCTCTTCTATTTCCAGTGGTCCTGAGTTTTCACTCTGGAGTCAGTCAAGCAAACTGTGTATACATTAGTTCTACAGAAATAAAGGCAGGAAGCCTGTGGTATGTTGAACTTTCATATTCATACAATAGATCCTGGTACACAGAATGCATTGAAAACATTTTTTTGGTTTTTTTGTTTTAATTAATGGAAGAGTGATGTGGGCCATGTTTTATTTTATCCTACTGTTAGTGATCAAACTATTTCCAACTTGGGTAGGTTTCCAATGCCACCCCCCAAAATAAGTTTTTTTAGGTTCCATCAAAGACTTAAATAAATAAGTAAATACCATGAACATAACAAGAATTGAAGATGGAAAGGCTCTATGAGGTCATGTATTTCAAGCTGTGCTAGTGTTTGAGGGCATGTTGTTCCAATAGTCTTTCCCTTACAGGAAATATTACAAGGGCAAATTTGGGTGTCCAGGATTTTTTTTATTGAATCATTTGCCGTTGAAAGAATAATTCCACCACGGGAAAGGGAAAATTATTCAGGGAAAATTATTTCTCATGTTCTTTGACTTTCCTCCTTTTCCTTGATTTGGGATTATTCATTACACCCTTAAATGTGATCAACCTCATAGATAGACATCCTTCTTTCCTTGATAAAATTTGATACAATGTAGTTATTCAGTTTATGAAATCAGATATTACTCTCTACCTTCCTTTGTTTTTATAATCTCTGTTTCTTTAAGCCTACAAAATATTTTTTACTTGGAAACCCTAAAGATTAATTATTTGAAGATTGGAGTCTTCCTGGGCCCAAGTTTAAAGAGAACAAGTAAAGCAGTTAAATTATTGTCATGTACTTTTCATTTGTGTTATAATTTTCTTCTTGTTTCTGGCAATACCTGCGGTTTGAACTCAGGGCTTTATGCTTCTGAGGCAAGTGCTAGATCACTTGAGCCAGGCCCCACCTTCAGCCCTTTTGGCTTTCATTCACTTTTAATAGGACCTCAGTGGTTTTTGTTTGTTTGTTTGTTTTGTTTT